TTTGATTGTTCGTCGTTGTTCCTTGTCTAACCCACGTAATAACATGGAAAAAAATGTGGATGTCACAAAACGTGGACATTACCCTACGAGGAATAATTTAATATGATTTTTACAGTCTTTTTGCAGAATTTGAATTGCGTAGTTTTTCTTTTTTTAAAAGCTAAATCGAACAAATATCTTTTACAATTTGAATTAATCATTAACAACTTAAAATCTGCAAAATATTTATTTATTAATATTATAATCGCAGTAAGACTGATATATCCTATCAAAACGGTAAGAACATTATAATGCATGATAGTAAAAAAAATAAAAAATTATTTACTCGAAAATCTTCGCGAGCTAAATCATATTATACAATAGAATACAAAATTAGAACTATTATAGCCCAGCTGTTGATGTTTGCTGATAATTTATTAATATAATATAATCATAAAATGTGGATTCAGACGTTTCGATAAATGTGGTTCTTTTCATTGAATAAATTAATGACTAATTAAAATGCTAAATCATAGATTTGGTGCTATTACTTTTATTTACTATTTTCATTCGTGCGTTATTTTTATTAATTTTCTTCGATCTCAAAATATTTTTTCTTAACAAAACCATGTGGCCACGAATTTTCGAGTTTAAACGAATTAAAAAAAATATGCACGAATGAAGTTTTAATGATAATTCAAAGATAACAAAACCACGTTCGTCAGTTAGTTTCATTTTAATAAATTTTTAATTTAAAAGTTATTTACGAAAGAGCATGCGATCTAAAATATTGCTATAAGAAAAGCGATTTTTTTTTGTCTTAAAAAAAATTTATTCTAAATCGATTAAAGATTCATTCATTAAAATAAATGAAGAAAAACAAAATCTATAATATAAGCAATGTCATAAAACAAAATAATAATAATTGTGATATCTTTTATAGCATAGTGTACGATAAATTAAATACTATATACATTAGTCATGTATTTAGATACAGTGAAAATATACAGCATTTGTAATAATAGAATCTGGTTCGATAAATGGTGTAAAAGTGTGTACTCGAACACATTTATGAGTGAAGTCTTCAATGCAAGATTTGGAAGAATACAAAATGATACAAAAGATGACACTATAAATTTGAAATATACTTTTGTTTATTTTGTTGTAAATTACATCAAGCATTGTATGGACTTATGTAACATATACTCAATATAAATTTTATATTTAATCGTTTAACAAATGTACTGTTTAATTTTCCTCTGAAATAATTTATAAAACAATCATGTATTTATTAAAATAATGGCTTCTATACATACAAAATGTGACAACGCTTGCCGCGTCTTGTCTGCAGGAATTATAATGCTTTTTAATCAACTGAACAAGATTTTAATATTCGTAATAACCCGGGAAAAATTCCATATATAATTATATTTAATTATGTAAAATTCCATAAAATTATATATAATTATATAAAAAATTGACATGTTTCATGTATATAATGATATATAATTTATATATAAAATATGTCCATATACATATATAACACTTTTTCCCGGGAATAGAAATTCAATATGCTAATATAAATGAGTTTATACGTATAGTTATTAAGTAAAAAAAAAAATTACTTTATATATTATTTTATATACAGGGTGTTTCCAAATTAAATCGCAA